TTGAAATTGATAATAATTTTTTGCAACAAGTGCTTAACACGTGCATTTTTGTTGAAGCATGTATATGATGTCACATAAAGTGTGCTTAAGAATATTAAAGTGATATCATAAATACCTTAAGAAAAACACATGCTTTACTTTAATCTCTTTCATTAGGTTATTGATGTGGAGGACGAGAATCTTCACATTCACACCTAGGGTACCAGAATCATCAATGTTAAAATGTGTACGATAGTCATCAGCTTTATCATGCATTCTCTTAAAACACTTTTTGGAACTTTAAAGCAACTCGTAGCATTAAGTGAAACTCCAATGTGTAGTGACATCTAAACACATATGGCTCTTGTGTCTAATTTTTCTCCTTTAGACCAATTTTAAAATTTTAAAAACCTTGAAAAAGATTACCTCACATATCTCATATAATTTTTAATAGCATCAAAACTCTTTTTAACTTCTTTTAAGCCTTCAGTCACTACCAAGTTGGGCACATATGCACAACACCTTAGTTATAAGCAATCCTTACTACTTACTAAACCCATCCAAGATTTAATCCTCTTCTTAAGACATGAGAGAGTTGAGTCATTTACTAGTGCATTGTCTGTTATTATTTTAAAGACTTTATCAATCCCCTAGTCTATTAGACATTACTCTATCATCTTTCCTACTGTGTCACCTTTGAGATTTTTAGTCATGCAAGGTTAAAAATTCTTCTTTGAAGATTCCATATAGGATCAATAAAGTAGGCAATCATGCATATGAATTGAAGTTTTGATTTGATGTCCAATAATCTATTGTCATGCAACCTGATTAGCACACTTCTTTAACAATATCTTTAATATATTTATTTCTCTAAGATAAAGTTGCCATTAATCTCTTGTAATAGTTACTCTTGATAGGATTGGAAACCATGGTTCTAACTCATGCGTAAATTTGTTTAAAGCCAGGCTTCTCTACAAGCCTAAATGGCTTATCATCACAAATTATGAACTTTATAAGGGCCCTTAGATGATGCTTCTCATTTACATATGAAGGACAAAGCCTATTTCTTGACCTTCTTATCTACCAACTAATACATAATTCAACATGATTGCTTTTTATCTGTTGTTGCCTTAAGTGGGTTCTTAGGACTTTTTAGTATATGCCTCTCTAGAGAATTTATCCTATGCTTATTGGATCATAAGTATATGTGACATTGCAGTATTTATACAATAGTTTATGTTCCTTTAATGGTAATCTCACAAAGAAATCCCACACAAGTGATGTCCTAACACCTTTTATCTCCTTTTGATGGTTCTAGTTCTTTTCTTTCATGACCCCTACAAGATGTCTTTTAAGGGGCTTTTGCTATGGTAGAGGTTAGGTTAAGGTTAGAGAGTTTATAACCATCTTGAGGAAGGGAGAGACTTAAATAATAACCATAATTCTA